GCACCCGCGTGCACCTAGTCCTTTCCGATCACCCACCCCGTCACAGATTTTATTCTCGTCCTGGATTGTTAATGAAAGACGACAGTTCGGGTGTCCATCTATCTCTGCCTGGACGAAGGAAGCCCTCTGTCTTTCGGAGCCAGGCACTAAAGTTAAAGATTCACTTCCCTCAATGCTCCGTGCCTGCTATTCAACTCGGCTCTGAGGTTACAGGTGGGCCGACCCGACGGGGTAACCAAGAGCAGGTGTGGCACGCATTCTCCTGTGTAAGTAATTAGTGGGATGGCCCATCTTGGGGACTTGGGGTATGACATTAAATTGTCCCATCACATAAACTTCCTTTGGAGATCTGCTCCTACGAGGGCAACTATCCAATTAGTTCAATCGTGTAGACAGGCAATGTGGATCACTTTGTCTTTAAAACCTAATCGAAAAACAAACGCTCTTTTTATTTATTGTAGGAATTATTTTTCTGCTGAGGAGGGGACTGAATTACAGGAACTGCGTTAACAGAACCTCTACTCAGAAACCCCCCAACTAAGAGGAAAGAAGAAAGCAGTCCTCTGAGTCTCGGCCACCCAAACGTTGGGTCCCCGCCTCCTCGCTCCGCTGACAAGTCACACTGAAGACAAACTCTACCTTCCGGGCTGACGGTTTGATAACGAATAACGGTTATTGACACCGAAATACCCTCCCCTACCCTTGGGTTCCTGGTCTACCCAAACGAGGCCATATGTAGAACTACGGACATTTATTTAAATAGCTCAGACACCCCCCCACACACACACACACGGACTTTGCTGCGGTTGTTTGTGATTTCGGTCTAGTGGGGAGTTTCCAAATCTCATTGGTGGGATAATTGCCTTAATCTTCCAATTTGTCTCCTGGCAGCGGATGGAGATGGTAGGACGGCTGTAGACGTGCAGCCTCCCTCCTGGGTTTTCAGAACCCTCTGGATTCGACGCACCGTCTAGAGCAGAAGTCCCTTCCCTCATCTTCTAAGCCTGCTTTTCCTGTTTTCCCAGCTCCTGGACCAAGTGGGGGCCCCCCCGGGAACCCGCAGGAAGGCGGCCTAGACCCCCGACGGGCCGGCTTCCTGGGCATAACGGAGAGCCAAAAGCTGGATACGCCGGAACTGCGGACTGGGAGGGGGTCTGGGCAGGTCCTAGGGACGATTGGGCTGCTGGGGCTGGAAAGTTCCAGAGGGGTCTCTGACGCAGAGGACAATCTGTGTCCCCCGGGCTGGGCTCAAACCGCTGGAGAGTCATTTCTTGAACTCGGGGCTCTCCCCGACCCTTATTCCCTCTACTTGACTTGAATAAAAAGGAAAGAGAAAGAGCTCTTTCTGGCTCCTGGTGACCTGCGTTAGGGCACCATCTCCTCCCTCCCTCCCCCACCCTCCCCCCACTACCCCCAACACACACATTCCTGTGGTGTCACCACGTTCCTGAATCTAGGCATTTCCTGGAGTGCTCGCCACATCTCCCCGGTGCTTTTCTACAGTAGGGGCCCTGGGGAGGCCTTGTTTTAAATATCGCTGTGATGTCACGCCCCCTCCTCAGAGCTAAGAATCCCTCAGTGGGCCCTGGGAATTGTAACCCCACCTGGCAGGTCAAGGATGGGCTGGGGATTGCGGGGCGGGCCAAGCGACAGTTCCACCAAACATCCATTACCGCTGTCGCCTGCAGGACCTTCAGGCTGCAAGGACGGGAGGTGTCAGAAAAGAAGCCCAAGGTTTCCTGCGGGGGCATTTCTGCCAATTGAGTCAAGGGTTTTTCGAGAGACTGACGATTGAACTACCTCAAGGAGGAGGGGAAAAGGGCATCAAAAACTTTCAACTGAAAATAAAAACTTTAACCCATTCCCCCAAAAAACTTCATTTCTTTGCCTTAACGTTAAAATAACACCACTAACAACAATAATAAAATAAGCAAAGTACTTTAAATATGATCAAGCCGTTTACTGAAGGTTTGCTTCCGAATAAGCTTATAAAACACAAATGCAAATATCTTTTCCTGGCGAATATCCAGAACTAAACCAGTGGAAAGTTGATCTCTATAAAACTGCATCCCTCCATTTTTTCTCGCATGCCAGATACTAATTTCACAACGGTAACTTTTATATCCGAAGCGGGGAGCCCAGAACACCACCGCGATTCGATTTGCAATTTACATAACAAGCTGTTTACCCTTCTCTGGGCTGGCGGAGGAAGAAAGCGAGGGGAGGACTGGAGACGGTGTGCTGGGAAGAGATGACGGAGCAGAACTGTCCATTGCAAAACCCGGGGGCCCGCTGGCGTTTCCCACATTAGGAAAACAAACGAGTCGCTATTGCTGCTTTCCTGTCCATGCACCGCGAGCGAACAGTGGAGATGCAGTTTAAAGTTCAAATTCACCAAATGCTGGGGTGTTTAGGGAGACCACTTAATTGGCCTCCAGGCTGAAGCCAGAGTGCCCCATTAAGCCTCAGCCAAAGGGGCTGATTATGTCAGCGTACAGGGATGGGGGCTGGACATGAATTCATTTTTCAGGTCGGGGGGTCTTCTCCCCCCTTCTTCCCTCTGCAAGTGTTTAGGAACCATCAAGTACTGAGCCTCCTGCTGATAAATCAAGGGTTTCTCCCAATCCGAGCCCCCGGCCTTGCAAACACCCTGGAAAAGGAGTTTCAAGTGCCCCAAGAGCACAGCAGGCCAAGAGGCAGCTGCCTCAGGAATGGGAACTTCCGGGCAACCCCCCCACCCCCAGGCTAGTTCTAGAAGCAGTAGGTCCTCTTCTCTCCATGTAAATGTCCATTCTGAAACACGCTATTTTTTAAATGTTCAAGTGACACGGAGCTGAGCCTGCTACACAAGTCAGCGCCTTTGGTATCTAACAACTAAAGCGACAATGAGAATTTTTTGTGCAGTGAAAAAGCCGGGATTCCAGCTGGGAAGCCAAAAGGGGCTCCCAACACGTCCTTGCAGTTAAAGATTGTCAGAAATTGGGGGAGTGGAGGTGTTAAATGCGTCACACTACTCTTCCTCACAGTTTCCTAAGCTTGCCAGTGCCCCCCGCCCCCCGGCTTCTGGTAAAGGATCTAGTGTTCAGTCTTCAGGAGGGTCTTTTCTAGAGTTGCCAAGATGCAGAATTGAGCTGCAGGCGGAGGGTGGCCAATTTTTTTCCTGCTTCTTCGTTTCTTTCCTTCTCTCCTCTTCCCATCCCATTCCAGTCGTTCAGAAACGCCTGAAACGTGCACAAGGATACGCCTTCTGCGCTTATCCCCCCAGAATCCTTGAGCCCTTCTGCAGGTGCGATTCTGAACAACCCGCCCCCCCCCCGCGCCCAACACACCCGTTATCTGCAAGCCGGCAGCCCCGCGCGTGTGGAGATGGAGGTTGAACTGAGGCGCGTTAAGTTCTTGGACGTGTTTATTTGCTTCTTGTCATCACACCTGCTAATGTCACTGAGCCCGAAGCGTGACCCCTCCTCTGAGCCGAAACATGCCTGACCAGGCAAAGACCCGGCGGCGTGTGGAGAACTTTAGGGATCACGTATGCCCCTCACCCTCCCCGCCACGGGGGAGCGCAGGGAAGCCTCCTGGCCTCTGCAGCTAGCGCCTCAAGCACCCTCAGGGCGCCAAGTGCCCTGGGGGGGGGGAGGAGGAGCAAGGTGTCCTGAAACGGGGGGGGCGGAGCCTACCTGGGCAGCGATCCCGGCAAGGCCCCATATCCCCTCTCCCTTATTTCTACTGGGTAGGGGTCACGAGGAAGCCGAGGTGGGGGCGACAGCTCCTGCCCCACCGGGAAAAGCATGGCTGTGACTGAGCCTTTAAAACCCTGTCCTTTGTAATCCAGCCCCGTCCGGGCAAGCTCCGGGCAAGAGGATCTCCAGGTGGGGGGCGGGGGGCAAATGAACACATCTGTGAACCGAGTGAGACTGGCGACGAGAGGGAAGGAAGAGGTGGAAAGAGAGGAAAGGTGAGGGGGAAAGGAGGGGAAGAGAGACCCAGGAAATCCCGGCACTGGAGTCAGCCAGATCGACCAGGGAATGGGAGAAAGCCAGACCGATTTGGGGTTCGCGGATTCGGTGACATCTGGGAGAGGTGGACGGAGGAAGGGTCTGCGTGGGGCCCAGGAGGACCCAGGAAGTCTGCGAGAACAATGGACGTCTGTGCGGAGGGCCGGGGGTGGGAGACAGTGCGGGTGGCGACGGCGGGCGGCTGGGGCTCGGGGGCCGATCTTACTGCGGGTGCAGGCCTGGCACGGGCAGGGGCAGGGGTAGGGGCGCCGGCTCCGAGCGGCCGGCGCGCGTGTGGTCAGCCCCGCGGTCCTCCCGCGGCTGGGCGCGGGCCGCCAGGGCTCGGCCTCCGGCTCATTCAGAGGCGGTTCTCGCCGACCATTGGCTGCTGCTGCTGTGGTGGGGCGGGGCTCCGCTGCCCGGAAAAAAATGTAACTGCGTAAAAAAGTCCTCGCCTGGGTGACGGATGCTCAAAAGTTCAGAAGTTTTCCCAATGCTTCCTTAAGCGGCCGGCGCGCGAGAGACTGAAAAAAAGGTGACGCGGGGCCCGGGAAGGCGGCCGGCGCGCTGCCCCCCGCCCCTGGTTATTTGGCCGCCTTCGCCGGCGGCTCAGGGCAGAGTCTTCTGGAAGGCGCAGGCAGTGTGGCGAGAAGGGCGCCTTCTTGTTTTTTAGTTTTGGCTCTGTTCTGCCGTTCTCGCCTGGAAGTTGCTCCGCGGGTTCCTTCAAGGCCGTCTGCCGCGTCCTCGTCCGGTCCTCTCCCCTAGCACCGACCCCGAAGTGGCCCGAGGCGCCCCAAAAGCCCGAGCGAGCGCAGGGAGAGGCCGCGCGCGGCCGGCGGCTTCGGGAGGCGGCGGCGGCCAAGCCGTACTCAGCGCGGCGGCCCGGCACCAGCTCTGTGGGGCCCGGACTCGGACTGGGCAGCCGGCGCGGCGTGGCCGGCCTAGGGAGGGTGGGGGGCGGCGGGAGGCGCGGGGCGGCGGCGGCGGCGGCGGCGAGCGGGGGCCATGCAGGCGCGCTACTCCGTGTCCAGCCCCAACTCCCTGGGAGTGGTGCCCTACCTCGGCGGAGAGCAGAGCTACTACCGCGCGGCGGCGGCGGCGGCCGGGGGCGGCTACACCGCCATGCCGGCCCCCATGAGCGTGTACTCGCACCCGGCGCACGCCGAGCAGTACCCGGGCGGCATGGCCCGCGCCTACGGGCCCTACACGCCGCAGCCGCAGCCCAAGGACATGGTGAAGCCTCCCTACAGCTACATCGCGCTCATCACCATGGCCATCCAGAACGCCCCGGACAAGAAGATCACCCTCAACGGCATCTACCAGTTCATCATGGACCGCTTCCCTTTCTATCGGGACAATAAACAAGGCTGGCAGAACAGTATCCGCCACAACCTCTCGCTGAACGAGTGCTTCGTCAAGGTGCCCCGCGACGACAAGAAACCGGGCAAGGGCAGCTACTGGACGCTGGACCCGGACTCGTACAACATGTTCGAGAACGGCAGCTTCCTGCGGCGGCGGCGGCGCTTCAAAAAGAAGGACGCGGTGAAGGACAAGGAGGAGAAGGACCGGCTGCACCTCAAGGAGCCGCCGCCGCCGCCGCCCGGCCGCCAACCCCCGCCTGCGCCGCCGGAGCAGGCCGACGGCGCCGCGCCGGGACCGCAGCCGCCGCCAGTGCGCATCCAGGACATCAAAACCGAGAACGGTACGTGCCCCTCGCCGCCCCAGCCCCTGTCCCCGGCCGCCGCCCTGGGCAGCGGCAGCGCCGCCGCGGTGCCCAAAATCGAAAGCCCCGACAGCAGTAGCAGCAGCCTGTCGAGTGGGAGCAGCCCCCCGGGCAGCCTGCCTTCCGCGCGGCCGCTGAGCCTGGACGGCGCGGAGCCCGCGCAGCCGCCGCCGCCGACCGCCCAGCCCGCGCCGCCGCCGCCGCACCACAGCCAGGGCTTCAGCGTGGACAACATCATGACGTCGCTTCGGGGGTCGCCGCAGGGCGCGGCCGCGGAGCTCAGCTCAGGCCTCCTGGCCTCGGCGGCCGGGTCCTCGCGCTCGGGCATCGCACCCCCGCTGGCGCTCGGCGCCTACTCGCCTGGCCAGAGCTCTCTCTACAGCTCCCCCTGCAGCCAGAGCTCCAGCGCCGGCAGCTCGGGCGGGGGCAGCGGCGGAGGGGGCGGCGGCGGCGGCGGCGCGGCGGGCGCCGGGACCTACCACTGCAACCTGCAGGCCATGAGTCTGTACGCGGCCGGAGAGCGCAGCGGCCACTTGCAGGGCGCGCCGGGGGGCGCGGGGGGCTCGGCGGTGGACGACCCCCTGCCCGACTACTCTCTGCCCCCAGTCACCAGCAGCAGCTCCTCGTCCCTGAGTCATGGCGGCGGTGGCCAGGAGACCGGCCACCACCCTGCGGCCCACCAAGGCCGCCTCACCTCGTGGTACCTGAACCAGGCGGGCGGAGACCTGGGCCACTTGGCGAGCGCGGCGGCGGCGGCGGCAGCCGCGGGCTACCCGGGCCAGCAGCAGAACTTCCACTCTGTGCGGGAGATGTTCGAGTCGCAGAGGATCGGCTTGAACAACTCTCCGGTGAACGGGAATAGTAGCTGTCAGATGGCCTTCCCTTCCAGCCAGTCTCTGTACCGCACGTCCGGGGCTTTCGTCTACGACTGTAGCAAGTTTTGACACCCCCGCCCCCCTCAAAGTCGAACTGAATCGAACCCTAAAGCAGGAACAGAAAAGAACCATCAATGCAAAATCGAAACCAAAAAGAAAGAAAAAGAATTCCAATAAAAAAAAAACAGAAAACCTCGAAAAACATTCACCAAACCAGCGAACAGAATCCCTCCAAAAATTCAACTCACCAGCACAAAGAAAACTATTTTCTTAAAAGATTCAGAGCCACCTTCACTTTGCCTTATCTAAATAAACAAAACGGTAAACTATTTTGTACAGAGACAGCAAAATCATGGTTTATTAAAGGACAGTGTTACTCCAGATAACACGTAAGTTTCTTCTTGCTTTTCAGAGATCACGCTTTCCTCCTTTCTCTCCCATTCCCCTGCCCTTCTCTTTCCTCCACCTCTCACCTGTAAGATATTTTATCCTATGTTGAAAGGAGGGGGAAAGTCCCCATATATGAAAATCGCTTTCTTTTTATTCATGGACTTGTTTTAAAATGTAAATTGCAATATAGTAATTTATTTTTAATTTGTAGTTGGATGTCGTGGACCAAACGCCAGAAAGTGTTTCCAAAACCTGACGTTAAATTGCCTGAAACTTTAAATTGTGCTTTTTTTCATTATAAAAAGGGAAACTGTATTAATCTTATTCTATCATCTTTTTTTCTTTTTGTTGAACATATTCATTGTTTTGTTTATTAATAAATTACCATTCAGTTTGAATGAGATCTATATGTCTGGATACTTTAATACAACCTTAATTATTATAAAAAAAAGATTTCAGATTAAAACACGAGAAATGACCTATTCTCCTCCTAAATAGCTGAAAAATGGAGAAACCCTCCGACTATTCCTTGTCAAATTTCACATAAAAGTCTCTTTTTGTTTAGATTTTTTTTTCCCTGCAGCATCTTCTGCAAAATGTACTATATAGTCAGCTTGCTTTATGGCTAGTCAAAAGATATTTTCCTAAACAGATCTGAGTTGGCATATACACAAATATATTTTTTTTTCAGTAAGGACAGAACATGATCTGGAAATTCTAAGCCCATGAATCAGCAGCAGTGTTACCACAGTGATACCTGTGTGTAGAGATATGTGAATGTGCCTCCAGATATACACAGATGAATATTTGGCTTGTGTGTTACATTAAAAATCGTGATGTCTGTTATACATACATCCCCGTGAGCCAAATGCTGGATAGGTATTTTGCCTATTAATTTCACTACTTTGTAAGAAGAAAAATAAACCAGTTTTTAAATGTATGTATATAACTCATCCACATTTACAATCCTTCATGTATTACATAGAAGGGTTGACTTAAAAAAATACATATATATATATATACTGTGGGTTGGAAAGGGATATTTAATCTCTGGGAAACTATTTTAGAAGATATGTTTGTAGAACAATTATTTTTTAAAAAAGATTTAAAGCAATAAGAAGGAAGGAGAGAAGAGCAGAACATTTTAGTCTAGGGTGGTTTCTTTTCAATCCATTTTTTCTTGTTAATTTACAGTTAAACCTAGGGGGCAACCCAGATTGGCCCTCCCCCTTTGTAAATAACCCAGGAAATGTAATAAATTCATTATCTTAGGGTGATCTGCCCTGTCAATCAGACTTTGGAGAGATGGCGATTTGATTACAGACATTCAGGGCCTTTCAGTTTGTTTTCGAGATAATACAGTTTCCTGCTATCTGCCGCTCCTATCTAGAGGCAACACTTAGCAGTAATTGCTATTGCTTGTTGTCAAAATTTGATCATTGTTAAAGGATTGCTGCAAATAAATACACTCTAATTTCAGTCAAAAACTGCTTTACGTGGCCTCTGATTTGCTGGGTCTCCTCCCTGAGTCGTAACCTAATAGCTAGGGAAGATCGCAGGGGCCCAGGGCGCGGGTGTCTCTCCGGGCCAGGCCGGCTGGGACTCGCCTGACTGCCGCGTTTAAAACCTCTTGGCTGTTCTCAGCCCGTGGCCCTGGAGCTGCCTCGGGTTATCCCCTTGGGGTGGGCGGTGAAGGGAATCCATTGCCAGACCTCGTAGTTTGTGCGTTGTTGGTCCACTTTTGGGAGTCGACCCCGGAGCCAGGACTTGCGGACAAAGGGTCCGGTGGCTGGAGCTGGGTTGTCTAGGCCCGGATGGGAAGCGGCAGCAGGTGACCAACGGAATGGCCCGGTCCGCTGGGACGGGTGACCTATCCCAAGGCCGGGCAGCTCCAGCAGCCAGAGACCGTATCTTTCTCGACTTGCCTGATGCAACGTTTTGGGATGGGGACTTGGCGAGGCTAGACCTGTGGCCCACTCGGGACTTTCCTGCTGGGGCGTTTCTCTGCGGCCTGGGTCCTGTGGGTCGCTCCTGGCCGGACGCCGGCCTCCGGGACGCCGCTCCCGGACGGGAACGCTCTGCAGCTAATTAGCTGTAATTACCCGCCGCGGCCTGGCCCCGGCTTCTGTTTGTGTTTAGAGCTCCTTCCTCTAGCCCCCCCCCACCCCCAACGCTTGCCCTCCCCACCCCTCCACCCCCGCCCCGCCGCCTCCCCTCCCCGGGTTCTCGCTTTCCTCGCCGCTGCCTGCCCCCCTCCGAAATCAGTTGTTTGAGGAGAAAAGAGTCCGAGGGGACCTCTTGTTAGGTGTGATGGATTAACCTCAGGTTGGGTCGTGGGTGCCGGAAAGACCAGGCTGAGCAGAAAATGGCACAGAGCAGGGCTGTGTGTGGAGGGACGAGGGTCGCGGAGCCAGGAGGAGCGCTTTGGGGCCCTCGCCGCCTGGGCCGGCGGAGCCGCGGGAAAAGTAGCTTGTCCCGCTCCTATCCCGCACCTCCGCCTCGCGCCACCTGGCCCACGGTGCTCCCTTTTTATACACCTCGCGGGCCGCCTTTGTTTTGAAGACACAAGCGTGTTTAGGTGCTCAGCCGGGGTGGAAAGGTCACAGGCACTCCATTGCTTTCGGGTGACAACGCGAGCCTCGCCAGCCCGCAGCCTCGGCAGCCGCACGATTTGCAGGACAACCCCCAGCCCGCCCCGCCTGGGCCTGGTAGCGCCGGACCTGCCTGGGCAAGCGCGTGGGCCCCAGGCGGCCTCCCTGGCTGGGCTGCGTCCTCGCGCGGCGTGTGGGGTCGGTTTCCAGAGGCCACAAATCACTTGGAGGTGGTCGGCGCGGGGAGTCGCTCGGCCTAAGGGACGCGACTTATATGCAAAGCGGGCAGGGGGTTTGGCGTGGTCGGGGTCCACGTGCTTGTACCCCTCTACCCCTCCTTGGGCCTGGGCTTTGCGGCTGGAGCACGTCGCGGCGGCTGCCAGCCCCGGGCCTACCCCAGCCTGGCTCTCGAGAGCTCGACTGCGCCGCTCCGAGGGGTGGGCTGCGGGACGGTGAGGCAGGCAATGTGGGCCAGAGGCGCGGCCCGGGGCTACCTCTGCCCTCGCGCCCCGAGGGAGCGCACGCGGCCTGCTCTAGAGCGGCCTTGCAGGGGTGAGCGCGGCGGGGGAAAGAACCCGCTCGCTCCCGGCTGGGGACCCTTCCCGCCCACGCCAGAATTCGGCGTGGGCATTGGACACCCCTCGCTTTTCCTTCCTTGGGGCCCGAGTTCCTGAGGCTAGAGAAGGCGCCCTGCATAAGTGCTGTGCTGGGGCTTCTGCGGCCCCGCAAAGAGCTCCTCTCCTAAACTCCTGGGAGTGTTTACACACTTGCCCGGGACAAACTTCTTAGCAATCATTCTTGCCCTCTTCTATTGCAACGTTTGAAAATTTAGGCATGGAAGACATGAGTCTAGGAAGGTGTTTGTGTTATTCATATATACTGATTTCTACATGAGTTGCCTAAGTAATAGTTCAGAAGCTATGTTTGAGTGGAAGGTCAGAAGTTCTGCTCATTATTCCGATTTTTTAAACCATATAGGTAACGTTTTCTACTCTCAATACATGTGCTTTTGGACTCTCATCCAATTTAAGAAAAAAACAACTACTGCTGACCTTATTGAATCTGGGAGAACTACTTATTCCTTAGTGGTTTGCACGTCTGATATGCACTTTTTCAGCAATAAGGCTATTTTTTCTGTAAAATATTCTAAGAGAAACTTCTTGCTATTTTAACTAACAGACAGTACATTTTGAAATTAGCCTTGGACACAAGGCAGGATCTAGTGGTCGGCACTTGGCTAATTTTGAAGTGAGCTTCTGTAGAAAGCTTTGGGATAGTAAGTATTTTGTCCTTTCTGTAGCACTGGGTGCATTTATTTGCTTAGCAATTTATACAGTGAGCAAGTAAATGCCAGCATGTTACATGCCATATAAAAACTTGCATTTTGGCATATTGCACGTGTGGTCGGAACGCCTGCTGTTTTCCAGGGCTATATAGTTAGCAGAGCTTTTTTCACCAGCCTGCATGCAAACAAGCATGCATTTTACAATTTATCATTTTGCACAGTTTGTGTCATTAATAATCGATGTTTGCAGAGGAATAAGGCTCAATTGTGCTGGTGGTCTGTAAGCTCTTGGCTATTTCCTGCGGGGGTCAGAAATAAGGGTCAGGAAACAAGAGTGCCTTATAGCCCTATCAGGCTCCCCTGAACTTCGATAGGTAAAGAAGAGACATAGTGGACCTTTTCTCTCCCACCCTGTTCTCTAGGAAGGGGGTCTCAGTTTTAGGATGGAGGGCCGTTAGTTTTGGTCTTCATGGTCCAAATTCCATAGAGGCCCTGAACCCTCCACAGGTCCAGGCTGCTTGGCCAGGCTGCCCAGGAGGGAGAGGAGGCATCCATTATGGAGCCAGGTCCCGGACACCCACATCCGTGTTCTCCCCAGCTGTTTGTGGTACTGGAAACAACGGTGGTGGGAGCAACCCTTTCTTTCTACCCGCACTCCACATCTTACAGCTCCTGGAGAGAGGCCCCCTTTGCTTCTCAGCCCAGTTCTCACTACTGGATCCCGCCTACTCTCTCAGGGCTTTCTCTTTAGACTCCTCTCAGCTTATTTCAGAGTGGGTTCATGAAGCCATTAGCCCTTCCCATCGGGTCATAAACAAATGTCGCGTTAAGGGCAAGATCGATAGTGACCATGTAATAAAGCTGGCCAGGCAGGTTAGATTCTGTGCGGACATTCTTTAGCTAAGCAGGGAGCTTTGGAGGGAGTCAGGGAGAAAAGGAACCACGAGACAATGTCATAGTCCTCACCCCCCCCCAAGTTGTGGGGTGTGGGGGAGCAGAGAATGGAGAAGCCTTAAGCTCAGGAGAGCTCCCAAAAAGCAAGACCTAGTTTATTCAGACAGTGGTCACAACACATGGGGGGAAACAAACAAACAAACAAACAAACTGCTGAGATTTGCTATGGGGCCCTAAATGTCATCTTCAGACACCTACTTTCCTGAAGGCTCCTATTTCAATTTATAAGGAGGTTAAGAGGTTCCTTGAAATGAGCTTTTATTAATGGCATTTTCACTCACACTTAAACAGAAAGTCTTTCCTTTACTATTTGGGTTCTACATTCATAGCTGGACTTTTGTGACCTGATACCTCCTTTACTCTGTCTCTCCCTTTTTGAGTGTGATTCCAACGTAGTCACAACGTTCTATGTGTCTTCGTACCTCTGTCCCTCTCTCCCTCTCTTCGTCACTCTTTCCCCCCACCCTTCCTCCCAGGCCCTTTTAAAAGTCCTGGGGGTCCCAAAGTTTCTCCCAGATGTCTCCCAGCTTGAGCTACCTACCCAGTGGCAAGTATGCTCAGGCTCTGAGCCCCCTGGGTGATGGGCCACATGGGGTCCTGACCTGGAGGGTACACTCAGGCCTCAGACAGAGCTGAGGCCACATGTGAGCAGGACTGGCAGGTTCCAGGTCTGAGTCCAGTTGGAAAAGGAGCAATACTTAATTAAATGAATTCCAGCTCCAAAATCCATCCAGAAGAATGAAAGCCCCTTCTCCACGACATTCTCAACATGATTAGGAGTGGAAAATTGAGCAAAATGTACCATGTCCGCCTTATTGGAAACCAAAATACGGCACAGAGAGCATAAGGCCTGACTTAAGACCTTTGTTGTGCTCCTTTGCCATCTTACCATAGCTCCAAAGAAACCCTCTGTTTTATATTATTTTTTTATTGTTTACTTGATTTTTTCCCTCACTGATTTTAAATTTGTGGCATATTGAGCGTATTATAGGAGATGCAGTAGGATCTGGAATTTCCTTGCATATAGGCCTGAGTCTGTCTTCAAGACAGGAGAGAGGGGTGGAGCGCCCATAGGGAGGCAGCCTGAGAAGAGAGACTGGTCTGAGTGGTCCTCAGAGAGGGCCTGACATTGCTTCCTGCTCAGAGTCTACCCACCTGGAGTCGGAAGGGTGACTCGGAAAACCTGAGGGGCTCTTCCATAGGCCTCTTTGCTCTTCCAGATGGCACCTGCCTCTGTTCTCCCAATGAACATCTTCTCTTTTCACTGGTCTGCCCTTGGGTTCCTCCAGGCCCACTGGTCAGCACTGCTGGTCACTTGTACTAAACTGCCCATCTTCATCCCTTAGCTGTCCCTGTTCCCAAGAAGGAGACTGGGTGGGCTGCTCATTTATCCCCTAAGTCAACACAGCTCAGTGCTACTTGGGTGGGCATGGAAGTGCAATTTGTGAGCCCATGGAGTGAGCAGCGGGCTGGCAGCCAGGGCCAGGTGGTGGGGCCTCTCCATTGACCTGGGTGGTGGGACCCCAGGCAGGGCCTAGGGACAGGGCTTGGAGGGGTCTCAGAACTCGAGGTTGGGGAATGAAGAGGTCGGAGGTAGGACTTTGAGGATGATTTAGATTGAGAGATAAGAGACAGAGATATAGACAGATGGAAGGAG